GATGCACGGCTATGAATGACGACTGACTGCATCCAATATTTCCAGATTCTTCTATAGTGTGATGTATAATTGAATGAATAGATTACCGAAAAAAACCCGCAGAAAAAAACATCTGCCCATTAGACAACCTTATTGCTTTGCCCACACACAGTTATACACATCATCAGAGAAGAGATGTCATTGTGAAGGGAAGTGTATGTTAATATGTTTAAAGGGGTGGTTGACTGGTTTTGTTCTAGGCTTTATTGTGTTTATGGGATGCAGTCTAACATGAGTTCATGCATTCGTTTTTTAAAAAACTCATTATTTTCACATAATTTACCTTTATTCTTCACCACTCTGTGCCTTCTCTGATAAACACGCTGATCATTTCCTGCTTTTATGAAGCCCCTCCCTCAGAAATACGCTATGGACTCTGATTGGTTAGCTAGTCCAGTGTGTTGTGATTGGCTAAACCGCATCTGGTGAGCGTCTAAATGTCCCGCCCCTCACCTCAGCGGCATGTGCTCCGGTTGTATTGTAAACAATGGCGACGTCTATATCGCTTATCAATTTGAGCCCGATTGAGATGCAGAGGATATTAGTGAAGAGGATCGTGCAGAACCTGTGCAAGCACGGCTTTTAATGGTATGTTTGTTTGTTGTTGTCTCATACTTTTACTGATGATCTGAATATGAGAGAGAGAGAGAGAGAGAGATGCAGAGCGTGTACAGAGCAGGGGACACGAGGAACATTATTAAGAACCACTGCTTTAGAACATTGATTTTGAAGCTTGTGAATCCATTAGAATCGTTAGAAGACAGAATCACGATTCATATATGAATAGATTTTTACGTGTACCTCTAGTTTTCTCTTCCTCTTCTCTAAAGCAGCACAGCATGGCCTCGCCCCCTGCTTTCAAAATATATACATTACATTACTACAAGCAGGAATTAATGGAGACCTTGAACAGTGTTCGTGCCCTCGCATCTCTCCTTCACGCGACTAACCAACCGCCTGTGACTGTCACAGGATTGCGCTCGCGCTCCGTTCGTCTCACTGACGCAACTGATGTGTGATCTCTCCTTAGTACTCGTGGCCAGTAATGCTAAAGTGAATTAGTTTTACTTTTCTGTAGTTACCGACGACATTACCTGAGCAGTCGAAAGCTGCATATTTATTGCATGGAGGGAGCAGAAATGTAAGTGTCTAAAGCATACGCACAGTTCCATTGAATGA